CTGAGTTCAAAGGGCTCGAGGGCAACGGGGGTGGCCTTGGAAGGGCTTTAAAAGCTGGACTTGGGCTGAGAGTTGAGGCCGTGGTGGCGTTTGCTTTACTGGGTTATCCCTGGCTTGAAGAAAGCATTAATTGTCCTCTTTGATTGGCCTGGAGAGGCTTTCCCTTTTGGAGGCTACGGGCCGGTAGATGCTGTTGGCTTCGCTGCTTCTGCTTTGTGTTGCGACTCGGGGCTGCGCCGCATCCGTGGGGTGCTGTGTGCTGCTGTCCTGCCTGCCTGCTTGTCCCTTGTCCCCCCGTCACCTCTGCTGCTCGCCTTGCTCCGGGCTGATCCCCGGATCCTTTTGGATCTGGGATTGTTGGACTAAATTCCTGTAGCCCGTGGCAGCTCCCCTGTGCTCGGCTGTACAGACCCTGCTCCCTGTGTCTCCCTGTTTTTTTTGCTTCCTCCAGTTTTTCAGTGGTTTGTGCTGTGAGGATTTGGGGCTGCGGTGCCGTCCCTGCCCCACAGCGACTTGGGGGGGGGGGCACAGAAGGGGCAGGCGATGCGTGGGGGGAGCTGTGGGGCGCAGGGGCCGGGAGAGGCTGCCTTTGGCTTTGGAGAATCACTTGGGAGAAGCTGTCGGGGATAATTAAGGGAATAGTTCAGGCTTGGCCACGTGAGAGACAGGAGCACGTGGGAGTGGGGCAGGGAGGCCCGGTGCTCGTAGCCCTCTCTGTGGAGGCCTCCTGGGGTCCATGTGGTGGCTGGGGAGAGGGGGGTGGCTGTGATGACACCCCCAAACCTGCCAGACTCCTGCCCCCATCACAGCGGCTCATTTTCAGCCCAGGGACTCTATTCATCCCTGTGCCGTTGGGCTGGCTGTATCCTCCAGCCGCTCACCCCACAGAGACCATGTCCCCCCCTGAAAAATGAGTTTGGGGATGGTCCTGCCCAAGGGGGGGCCATGAATTTTGCTCCCAGTTCATGCTGGGACCCGCTGAGCACCTGGAATCATTTCAGCTCCAAGCCATCACCCGTCCACACTCCACTCGGTGCTCGCCCCAGCTCTGCTGCCGGGGGAAATTCCAGCTCGACAGTGGGGTTTTTTTTACCCTTTTGGCTCAATTTCTGCTTTTCTCCCCACGCTGTCCCTTCCTGCCGCCCACCTGGAGCTTCTTCCTCCATGTGAGCTCGGGGGGGGGTCATGGTTGCCCCCTCTTCCTCTCCCAGCTCTGCTCCCAAATCCCTGCCTACAACGAGGAGGAAAATGCCCTTCCCCGGGGCTGCCTTTCCCTGATGGTGCTTGAGCTTGATTTGGCTCCCTAAAAAAAAAACACACCCAGCTTTTTCCTTCGTGGAAAAAAATCCACCTTTTCCCCAGGTGGAAACCC